TACCAGAAGGACAAAGAAACCTTAGCAAGTGTGAGAACTACAGAGACATCGCTCTACTTTCAGTACCTGGAGAAGTCTTTGGCAGTGTGTTGGTAAACGGAACTTAACATTCAATAGGCACCCAACTAGCCCAGTAAGTAATGATTTAACTGATTGAATAATTAGACTGGTATGATAGCAGAATTCGGTTTACATTAATTTGTTATGTAACTATTCAATCCGTATAAATTATGAATCTTTTGTTTATGCTGCTTGGAGTATTTTATAAAACTCTAATAAATGTACTTCTTATAAGTTTATTGTAGCGTAATCAATTACAAGATAACCAGATATATTTGGATAATACGCTGAAAAGATGAAGGTTATCGAACGACATAATGTATTTAGACAATTTAATTCGAACAATCTGGTCACACAAATACTTGTTCAAGATTGTTGCGTACGGAAAACTGAAAGGTGAACTGGACAAATTAGAAGGGAAAGGTAAAGAAAGTACGCGAAGTTAGAATCACGCTGTATAAGACATCAGATTTTGTGCACCGGCAAATCTATTTGATCACATATAGATGGTCTTACTTTTCGTATCGTAAAGGCATCCATGAAGATATGTATAAGCCGTTGAACACTTTTGTGCAGCAATACAAAGGCATACTTGATATTTATCCTACTAACCAGTCTCAGCCAACTGTTTCACAATAGAAGAAGCGACTTGTCTATTCTGTGACTTTATTGGATCATTAGGTACGTAACCACACACACACACACACATTGACCTATTCGAATGACTGGGAAACAAGCGGGTTCCAATGGTCCGCCTATAGAACAGTCAAGAACAAGTATCTGTGTAGCTAGACTAGTTGAATTATTATTACTCTAATATATCACATCGCTCTGATAACCTTCATCTTCTCGTTGTATTATCCAAAGTTATTGAGTAGAGTTTTATCAATCAATATTTGATTTATTGTATTTCAGGTTTGCTACACTAAATAACAAGAATGATGTTAATCCACTATTAAATTTGAACAATGCACCGATCGAAGAGTCGAAGAAATATCAAAATGAAATTTTATCTGTGTGTAGATTCAAATTCTGCGATGACGAATAACTTACAGAACATATATACAACCGAGAAATAGTATACGGCATTCCACTAGGAATCAAATAATTTTTCAAAAGTTCTTGTCGTATCTATCATTAAAGACCTATATTCATAAGTACTGATTAATAGCTGTCATGAAGCTGTGTCCATCATTGGATAAGTTATTTCTAAACGCTGTTTAAATGCGAGCTATAACACAATGATATAAGTCTTTTAACTAATTAAGAACGGAATATCAATCGATCATTCTCATTCGTCTGATACTAATGCTAGTTCAATGCATGAAAATTTGTCCATTTGAAGTGAACATTGAAAAAAATGTACAATTTGAATGTCATTTAGAATCAAGTACTTTGTTGATAAATAAATTCTCACTTTGTAATCTTTCTTAATCATTTTACATTGCCGGGTTGTTCTGAAGATTGTTAAGTTTTATTTCTAACCATGAATCGATCAATGTCATACCACCATTAGAAACCTGGAAGCACTGGATGGCCGTCAAGTCCTGGTATAAGACTACTCAGCAGTGCGCATCCACGACTCCTGCACCCCACAGGACTCGAACCCAGGACCTTCGGTATTGTGCGCGAACGCCCTAACCGTTAGACCACTGAGCCGGCATTTAACAGTGGTAATGTCTAACTTGATCAAATTCACGGAGTTGCGCAACCTCATACCCTGTATTCATTCGAACAGGTTTGAACTTCACTGGTCACGACTTCCCATTTGAATTCGGAGAAGATTCCTCACCAAGCTAGTCACTAGTGGACACATGTAATTGAATTGCGAGGTTGTTATGAAGATTGTTAAGTTTTATTTTCAACTATGAATCGATTAATGTTCGGATGTATACAGGGTATGAGGTTGCGCAACTCCGTGAATTTGATCAAGTTAGACATTAACATCGTTGGATACCGGCTCAGTTGTCTAACGGTCAGGGCGTTAGCGCACAATATCGGAGGTCCTGGGTTCGAGCCCTGTGGGCTGCAGTATTCGTGGATGTTCACTGCTGATAATCATGTTACATCGGGCAAGTTCTAGTCTCATTCCATCACATAAACAGTAAGTGAAAATGATTTTGTTGTTTTAACGAAGAAAAAGAAATCAACAATTTCGCTTTGATCAACATAGAAGAGATCTTTTGTAGACAAGAAATTTTACTCACCTATTGTAAATCTCTCTGAATAATTATGACAATCTGTCTTAATTTGAATGTATTAAACAGCATTCACCCACATTGACATTGATCTGTAATTTCCACTTGTTTATGTAAACCTAATCGTAAGATACACAGTTTTATTATGGTGTTTTCAGAAATAACTGAAATCATTCCGTCACAATCAGTAATATAGTAAGAAATTTCAAATCTGTTAGAAATATGCAACATAAACATGACACTGATAACAATTCGTCAAAATATCAATAAAAGCAATAATGGTAAGAAGCTATATCAAAAGTTAGTCAACATGGTTAAGAAGTATTAGGTGTATCTGTTGAATAAAACTGTGAAATAATATTTGTGAGATTATGGTTTGTTTTCGTGAATAACACTGTAACTGAAACATGTCAAGCAATATATATATATATATATATATATATATATATATATATATATATATAACTGATCTGTAGCCTGACTTCATTCAAGTGGTATTGTTCACTCACTAACAGTGATATTCTACTTTACTGTGATTATGTTTAATTTTCATCCAATCAAAGTTAGTTATCATAGGTGAGAAATAATCGTCTCATTGATCGATTTGTTGTCTTTAACTGGGACTGTAATTTCAGTGTAGCTCATGTGGTTGATTCATAATACACAAGGAATGCTTTGAAAACACCTGGAAAAATTGGTGAACATGTTAGCCCTATAAAATCATTGGTTCATATAAAGCATTATCCAACAGATTCTCTCATCATCGAATACATTTTACTAAATTGTTTTATTATATTATTCAATCAATGTTTCGTTAGTATATTCATTAGGAGAATTGTTACACACACCTCTGTGCAACTTGAAACATTTGTCACTTCATTAAAAGTGTGTTTACGAAAACATTATCAGTTTCTCATTCCGTAAATATACGATTCATTCGCATAATGTTTGATTTATTTTCATAACTAGCTGATCTGAGCTATTGAACCGTTGTAAGTTAGAATCAACTGTGTTATTAGTAGGTGACATATGAGCAATGCTTGCTACCTATGCTACCACTAGACAGCCATTAAAAATCAGGAAGACTTGGACAGTATTTTGTCGCACAATGGCACTCCGTAGCAGAAATCTTCTACGATTTCACCAAGGATGAAGGCTAGGACTGTCAGATCTTAAGTACTTAACCTTTAGATGATTTTTTCTAACTAGAGATTCTTGTTCTAAAATGAAGTACCTGCCTCAATCTTTCTGTTTATTGGTGACTCACTAACGTAGTTTACTTCAGGTTGTGAAGCTACAACCCGACCGAAGTTGCTACCTTGACGTGGTGGTCGGGCTTGCCTATCGTGATGACCCAGCCGAGCTATATTGGTTGGAATTTATGTTCCTGAAGGTTCTACCATGCCAGGCAGGTTGATTGGAGAGCGATGAGACTAAAAGCAGCTACCCAAAGTCTGAGGGCGAAGTCGTATTGCTGACTGCAGAGAGATGTGACAGCAGTAAGGTGTTTCCCTCGGACAACCAGCATCTGCAGCGATGCTACCTTCTCACAAGGAAGGAAGGGTTAGAAAAGGTCGACCCTTAAAATGTCACACCTCACCCTACCTCTTCGGTGGTTAGGGTGTTCACTAAGGGCTTTCAAGAGCGGAGCTAACACTCAAAAAGCTTCTCATAAAAAGGCCGTGCGTGACCGGCCTCAAGCAGTAGTCCCTTGGGCTCTGCGGTCACGCACCCAGGTCTCTAAGACCAACACTAATCCTCCTTCCCTTTCAGGTCCCTCAAGAAACAACCTTCCACGGTGTGGGCAGCCGGTAAGTGATAACCACCCTCATACCCGCAACAGCACACGAGACCGAATTGGTCAAAATCAAATCCTTCCTACACCCCCTAGTACCTCTCTTATCTCCACGACTAACTCTTCTCACATTCCTTTATCACACTGCACAGCTAATGCAAACGACGCGAGTTCGCGAAACGTCGTTCCTGGTCTCCTTAAACCCCGTTCTAAACTACATGTTGGAGCATTTAATGTACGGACATTGTGTCAAACAGGGCAATAGGCATCATTAGCTAGGACTTTAGAATCTCGTACCATCGATGTGTGCTGCGTCTCGGAAACGCGCATGCAGGATCCGAGTAGCATCATTCACTTGACCTCACCATATCAAGATAAAGAAGCAGCTCGATTTACCCTTCGTGTATCCGATAACTCTGATGCTGCTTCCAGGGGTCTCGCTGGTGTAGGTATAGCATTGAGTCGTAGGGCAGAACAAACTCTCCTTGACTGGATCCCAGTAGATTAAACGGGACAGTAAGGATTCGAAAGGATAGGGACACTCGCCGTTGCCTCTTCGTCATATCAACCTACGCCCCCACTGACTGTGAAGCTATAACATAATAATTGTTAGTAGATAAAATGAAGTAAGTAAAGATTTCTATTTACACTATCAAGTGCAATGACTTTTCGCGTCCAAATAAACCATAGTAAACGGCCAATAATAGTAGTGTTCTCATATATAAATGTACGTGGTGGATATATTAAACTGATTACGAAAAATAAATAATATTTAGTCTACTTACTGATCAATAACTGAATGCACTATTTTTATCAAATTGAAAATTACCCCCAACAAATCAAAACATTAAATATAATCATCTCAATTTTATGGATTTTGAATGTACTTTATCATTAATTGGTTAACTGATGTTATAAATACCATGTGTACTTTGAAAAAAAAAAGCATAGTAGGAAATAATAATAATTCCTTTAATTTTTATACAATGAAAATATTCACACGTAGTATTATTACATCACTCTTTCTTCTTATAAACTTAATAATTTGGAATTTACTACTAACAAGTAGTTGGAAAATGTCATTTAAACATATTAGTACATTTATGACACTGATCTACGTTCATGGCGGTGATGATGCACGTCTGAATCATTATGATGCTATGAGATTTTGTCAACAATTGCCTAAAAATATTCATCTTCTCAATGAAAAATTAATCAAGAATGCTACAGCGCATAATGTTTCATTGAAAGATTATATGAATACAACATTGAATAATAAAGTTAATCATAGTGTTGATAATCAATGGGAAAATTATATTCTACACGGTGATTTAGTCTCTATTCATAGTTCAACTATGATACATGTTATTATGGGTTGGATTTTATCTGTAGAACCAAGACAATTTTGGATTGGTGGTTTAATTAAATTAATTGTACATGAATTCAATGGTGAACATAGACATTTAATACAAACATGGACAGATCGTACACCTGTGACTGTACGATTTCTGCATCATCATAGTCCGGTGTTAGAGCGGCTACAACCGAATGAAATTGCTTGTTTATCGATTGATTATGCCAGTGGTAAATGGGGTGTGCATTATTGCACTGAAACTAAATATTTTGTATGTGAATTATTAAGATTACCAAATAGACGAGTGATAATTACTGGAAAACAAATCAATGCACACATCAATGCTACTACTACTACTATCGTGTTACACCGTAATCATACTACAACTAATACAACTTCACCAACAGTCTTAATTATTCAATTCCCTATGCATCATCACTTGAATAATAATATTAATAATAATATGACAGTTATTAATAAAAATATCACCAATTCAACAATGGTGAATATGATCACCACACCAAGTACTAATCTGTTGAATACAACAAATCAAACAACCGCAAAAATAGTGTAAAGAATATAAACTCTACAATATGCTGAAATTAAAAATAAAAAAGGTTTGTCTGCCATGTTACGTGTTATTGATTAATTTTTGAAAAAATAAATCGAATATTTATTGAATTATCTAACAATCACTATAACAATAGACTAGTGAATGTTAATTATAAATCATTCAATAATAATAATAATGTAGTGAAGGAGAACACAGGTGAGGGCAACTGAATTGTATTTAATGAAAATTACAGAGTTACTTAGTAAAATAGGTAAAAACCATATTGTAAACGGTTAATTTGCAAATCTTCAATCCATTGTCTGACATTTCACTTATTCATGCGTTTCATACAAATTCCATTGAGTTCCCACTCTTCCTTTCTTGATCTAACCCCATCTTCTGGTGACAGACATTACATTGACACTCACGTCATATACTACTCTTATAAGTAGCACGCACCCCAATAATACAATAAAGACTAATCGAAAAAATAAACCTCTACGATAATAAGAATAATAATAATAATATCTATTAAAAACAATATTGAATCAAGTGAGGATTCATCCCGACTGGTAATGTTTATGACCAATATGTTATGAGAAGAAACTGAATGTTGACATTATTAATTCTATGAGATAGAATTAATTTCAAAAATGATAATTAGAAAGTTATATAGGAAATAAAAATTTAGAGAAAATTTTTCAGGTCACAGGATCTAAAGCTTTCCATTAAAGAGTCAACGTATTAATAATATATGGCTTAGTCAAATTGTCCCTAGAGTTCTTTATTCGACTATCCTCCAGCATAAAAAAAGTCAGAAACAGTTTAATAACAAAATCGAACAGCTTGATTGTGATTCTCTATGAAAAGACGTAGAAAATACTAGAAAAGAACTACTTTTCAAATAATTACTGAAGATAAATTCAATATTACATCGAATATGATACTGTGATGATTTTTTTGATGAGGCTCGTTTCTCACAAGTTTTTGTAAAATATTTGGACTGGATCTGGTAGTATATATTAGGAAGAATGCATGCTTCATTTAGAATGGGACTCGTCAGCTGAGTATCTCTACACCTGGAAGTTGATGTCCGTATCAGGTCCCTAGTGTGAATCCGCAAAACAGAAAGTTACACGAACTCTGATCATAGTTTGGATGTAGTTTCGATGCAGTGGATGTACACTGCTCAACAGTTTCATAACAGCACGAAACTGCTACCCAGTACTTCCACGTTTTCAAAAGTTTGAATACACAAAGTCACAGCATCAGTGTTTGATAGATTGTGTATCGAACTCATGAAATAGTAAATTACTGGTTCTTTAAAATATCTAACAAACACCGGCTAGCGTTGATTTCTAGTTTTTACTCTGTCTTAATACTAAGATTGGAATCGGCTTCGTAGATTAGTAAATAAACATATTTCTGTATTTCGATTCAATCATAGTTCATAGTGCTTCTTATGTGACAATTTGATAAGCATGATGATTGTACACAAATCTGTGTTCAGAGAAATGTTTAATTTCATTATTTCTTAATTTCAGCCTGCAATTGGAAATGATCGACTTTGTTTCACCGTTTAATTTACCAACTAGACTTTGCCTACATTTTTTATCTAATATCTTTTGTAAATGAACCAATCAATGTTGACAAATAGAACTTTTGATGTGGGCTGATATTGTTGACCGATAGCACCAAATTTATAGATGCACTATTTACCGTTATCAGAAATTACACTTAAGTTGGTGACTAGTGTATGATTGGAAACTTTGACAGCAATAACCGTGCTGAGAAATATAGGTATATAATTATCAAACCACGTTATGGCCATGAATGGATCCTTCTGCTTAGTGCCTTTTTAGAAGTTAGTTTTTTTCGGGATAAGGTCGCTAACCTCATGCCCAACGCTCCTATAAAATCCAAGCTTGAATCAGCAGTAACCGCAGGAGGGCTCCAGGCGGATGGGTTAAATTGAATTATTATGCATGGAGAGCAGCTCACAGACTCGGTTCATGCGAAGAGCGGTGTCAGGCAATGTTGCTTACTCTCACCCTTTCTCTTTCTTCCGATAGCCGACCGGTTTATGAAGACGTCAACATCTCATGGGAAGCATGACATACGGTGGACTGCTCGGATGCACCTGCAAGATTTAGACTTCGCAGATGACCTACCTTTTCGATCCTATACGCAGCTACAAATTCAGATGAAGGCCGTCAGTGTAGCATCAGCTTCTACGGTAGCAGATTTCAACATACACAACGCAAGTAGTGAAATCCTCCGAAACAACACAGCATACCCCAACCTAATCACACTTGATGGAGACGTTATGGAAGTGGAAACGCTTACATACCTGAGCAATAGCACTGATAAGCAAGGTGAACATGATGTAGATGTGAAGATACGGATTAACAGAGCAAGGGCAGCATTTCTATAATTGAAAAATATTTGCAACTCCAAAGAACTACCAACCAACACTAAAGTTAGAAAAATCAATACAAATGTCAAGACAGTCCTACTGTATGATGTGCAAACATGGAGAATTTCGAAAGCGATCATCAGGCAGATACAGGGGTTTGTTAACAATAGTCTTCGCAACACACTCCGGATCCGTATGCCAGACACCATCAGCAACAACCTACTGTAGTCAAGAATAAAGCAGATTGCAGCTGAGCAAGAAATTAAGAAAGGGAGGTGGATAGGACAAACATTGGGGAGAGCACCCAGCTGATACACAATGCAAGCCCTAACTTGTAATCCTACAGGTCAAAGGAAAAGAAGGGGACCAAAGAACGGACCGCGCCGACAATCAAAGATAGACATGAAAAGAATAAAAAGCCATTCTTAGCACTCTATGGTACAAGTACACGTAACTGACAGATATCAAGGACAAAACACGTGTCCTATATCCCATTAGTAACCACCATCCATCTCTGCTAAATATTATTTCCCCTGGCTAAAATAACATTTCCGTACCTTT